TTATATTTTATCTGCCTCTTTAAAAGTTATAAATAGACCTGTTTGCCCATATTATGAATGATGTAAATTATACAATATATATATATATATATACGGGCCTAAGCTATGAACTATATGAGGTATTGAAACTGGGCCAAAGATATAATTTGATAGATTAAATACATAACGTCAAAATATGGATTTATTGTTCCTAAAGTCAGTTTTTAAAAGAAACGGGTTTTCACAAATTAGGCTTACTATAGACCTCGGGAGCCTTAAGCTTACCTATGCCGTAGTGCCGATCCGGCCCATGGTTTTGGGTCTTGACATCATCTTATCTTATTGTTTATATACTATATAAAACTATTCTCGAACGTTGATAGATTACTTATTATGACAAGAAAAATAAAATTTGTACCTAATAATTTACTCAAAAATTAAAAATTATTACCAAACAAACCAAAAATAATGTGTATTTTTGAAACACATGTGTATTTTTGAACACATGGTTTTTAACATTTTTCAAATTATTTATTATTAAATTTTTAAACATACTATATTTGATTTGAAGTTTAGACTATGTAAAAATAAAAATTTTTATATTTGTAAATTATGAAAATTTAAATATTTAGACATTGTATTTGTTTTTCTATCACATATTTGATTTCTACTAAAAAAAAACAAATAGCATATTTGTTTTGAATTTAAAAACTAATAAAATCTTTAATTCACAAAAAAAGATAAATCATAATACTCAAATATTAGGAGTCTCACTTTCTTAAGAAAGTGTCACATCAGCATATATAAAAAAAATGTTTCTCATATATATAATGATAATGATATAATGATTTGAAAAGAATTGATTATTGCTTGAAAGATTATTAATATCTGTTACTGCAAGATAATCTCTGAATATAAGATTTTAATTGTCCTACTTATATGTTGCGAGAATGTCATAATATACTCCTTGCGAATATCTAAATTTTTCTTATGAAATTATTAATTAAAAGTCAATAAAATAACCAACATACATATAACTATTTTGTCTATATGAAATATTATTATATTTAAACACACTCTAATAAAATATACCAAGATGAGCTATAATAGATAAATACTCTGTTATATTATTATATATAATATATATAGGTATATATGAGGAATTAAAGGATATTAGGTAATAGTACATTATGTATTGAATATTAAACCAATATCCACCATATTATCTTATATAAATACTAATTTATATACTCTTAATAGTGATAGAAACAGAAGATATAAAAAGAAATACTCAAGATTGTATGATGATAGTAATGTGTCATCTTTGGGAATGTTGAATAAGCAAAATTTTTTATAGTATTTTTTCCATATTGTTAAATCAAAAATATGTATCCTCGAAACCAAAAGATTCTGGGATAAATATGCCAAATGCTTGAGTTGACGAATCTTGAGACTCACATAACTAAATATGATTAAAATAATACACTCTTAATTAATAATCATTTTAATGTAGAGACCAATAATTCTTGTTAATTAGATATTATATTGAATTTAAACAATATACATAATTATTTATATAATATATTTTTATTAATTAGTGATAGAAGTAAAATATGAATACTCAAGAATTGTTATGAGATATAATGTGTCCTCTGTTGGGATGTGATACAAATATTTATAGTATTTTTCCTATTGTAACTGAAGATGTAAATCTCGAACAAGAATTCTGGTAATAAATGTTGAGTGAGAATCTTGGACATTAACTATATGATTAAATCACTCTTAATTAATATCTCTTTGATCGACCATTACCTCTATTTAAACAGATTTGAGTAACGCTCGGACCATTCTATTAATTGCTTGGCACATTCTATCTGTTGCTCGACACATTTGACTGGTTGGACTATTCTGTTACTCATCCATTTTGTTGATTGCTCATATCAATCTATTGCTCATCCCATTATATTGATTGGCCAGCCCATTTTATCAATTGCTCCTAACAAAAGTCCCTCCAAAATATACGGAATCATTTATATTCGGTTGAAATCTTTAACTTGCTTTCAGCCCATTTTTTGTTCTCCCATTTTCTCGGTCTCCCATTTTTTTGTTCTCCTCAATTGACACTTCTTAATTTATTATAGTCGAACACTTGCAACTCTTCCTCGTGTGCCATAATTGGTCTTTTTTTTTTTTTTGAACGTTTATACACCTTTTCAGTTTCAGTTGATTCAAACATCACCTTCAATTGTTGTGACTTTTAGAGCTTGCATGAATAGAAGTGGTTAATTCTATCAATAACTTGTAGCCTGATTTCTAGGCATGATCAAATCAAGATAGACAAGACTTAGGTCCAAATTAGGTTGGGCAAGAGAATGACCTCAACAACCATTTTTTATGTTCCCCCAAGTTTAAGGGGGTCATATATATATATATATATATTTCATCTAATGAAATTTCATATTTCTTTTTCTCAAGACCTTTGATTTTGAGTTCTCTAACTCATTTCTATCTCGAGCTTTCTTAGACTCACAATGTGTTGTTATGCACATTGTTTGTAGAGCAATTTGTTATTTTGCTCTGTATTTCTTTGATTTTTCTTAAGTGGATAATGGAGAATAGGAGAATCATATAATAAATTTATTTCTTCAGAAGATAGTGTAATTTGGATGAGAAAATTAATATACCTTGGATGAAAAATTGTAATTAGTGACTTCTTTATTCATTTTTCCTCAGCATTTCTTGCTCAAGAATTTGGTCTATGCTTGCTGGATTTTTCAAGCTTCATTTAGTTGAGCATAGTTGTTTGCTTGGGATATTAATTCTGCAAAAGAATGTGGAGGATCAAGATTAATGGATCAAACAGTTTTAACATACTTACAATTTTTTGACATGGCGCTAATGGTCACTTCTGCATTTAGGTCCTCAATTTGCATAGCCAATTTCTAAAATTTATTAAGGCACTCCTTGAGTGATTCTCCTTCATCCCTTTTTAAATCAATCAAGTTTGATGAGATCTTTTTGCTGGGGATACATATGACAAACCGAGCTTTGAAGGTAGAAGCTAGTTGAGCAAATGATGCAATTGATCATGTGTTGAGCATTTGGTACCACTCTTGTGTTGGTTCCTTCAAAGTTGCTGGGAATACTCGGCAAAGCAAAGCATCTGTAGTTGTCTAGATGTGCATTATTGTCTTGAAGTTATCTATGTAAGTTATGGGATCTGTTGTGCCGTCGTATATTTAAAAATGTTGGGCATTTTGAACTTTTAAGAAAAAAATACTTTAAGCATTTCTTGCGATAATGGGAATCATTCCTGAGCCCATAATCACTGCTATCTCCTGCCACTTTATATTCTTTAAGGATTTCTATGATTTTAGCTCGGAAGTTTTCTTTCTTAGCCCCTTTGAATTTTGTTCGGGAGTTTTCTTTGCTCGTCCCTCTGATTTTGTTCGAGAGTTTTCTTTGCTCACCCCTTTTGGAACATTTGTAGTGTTCCTGTTGTATGTTGTTTTTGTTCTCTAAGAGATTTCAGTTTTCCTCAGGGAGGTTTGCTTGTTCCTCCTCTTCCCCTTGAACCACTTGTTTCCCATTTCTAAGGGAATAATTGTGTTGCTTGGAAGATTGAGAACACATAAATCATTTTAGGACTAATGCAAAGTTATTATACACTTATGCTAACTTTTTTTGCGATCTGCGGGTTTATCATGGGTAGAGAATTAAGAGCCTTTTTTTTTTTTTGGAGTAATTGCTAGGAGAAAATTGCTAAAAACTGAATACGAAAACTAAGGTGTGTTCCATGCTCGCCGGACCAATTTGATAGAAGTAAAATATGAATACTCAAGAATTGTTATGAGATGTAATGTGTCGTCTACTGGGATGTAATACAAATATTTATAGTCTTCTTCCTATTGTAACTGAAGATGTAAATGCCTAGCAAGAATTCTAGTAATAAATATTGAGCGAGAATCTTGGGCATTAATTATATGATTAAATTACTCTTAATATCTCTTTGACTGACCATTACCTCTATTTAAACGGATTAGAGTAAGGCTCGGTCTATCTATTAATTGCTCGGACCATTCTGTTGCTTGGCACTTTCTATCTGTTGCTCGGCATCTTTGACTATGCGGTCTATTCTTTTGCTCATCGCATTCTATTGATTGCTCATACCAATCTATTGCTCATCCTATTCTGCTGATTGTTCAGCCATTTTATCAATTGCTCCTAACAATTAGTATACATTATTTATACATATACCAAATCATTAAGATTAATTAAATTAATTTTTATATAGTTTCCATTTATTGCATCAAGGAACACCATAATACACAAAAATTGAATTTAATCTTTCTAGAAAATATAATATAAGATGCATAGATAGTCACATAAAAACAATTCATCCCAAGAAAAGTATCCAATCTCAAAGTACTTATTTATATATATATATATACATATCCAATCTCAAAATTACTTATTTAATATATATATATATATTAGTTTTAAAAGCTCATACAATAATTAAAGGTTCAATGTTATGTGACGATTCAAGATCTTTGTATTCAACATATATATATATTATAATATATACCTTCAATTGACCGATCAATCTTCAATGTGACCGATCAGATCTTTGTATTCACATATATATATATATATGAATACAAAGATCTGATCGGTCACATTGAACCTTTCAATTATTGTAGAGCCTTTTACCAGTCTACGGTTTGAATTTTTCCCTTTTACTGGTTAAGTAATGCGATCACGTCATGATTTATTAAATTGGTGTATATTAAATCAAAATTAAATCTATTTATAATCATATCTTGGTGTCACAAGCTATCATACATTGACGTCTGAATATCGTTTTAAAGTTATTGCCTCTAGATCTGTTCTGTGCATATCACTTTGACTTTTCCATGAATAATTACTGTGTTAAACCGAATCATATATATATATATATATATATATATATGTATGTTACATTCATTTGTAGGTTGTCGTTTTTGTGGAGAAACAAAAAATAATGAAGATTTTTCATTCTTTTACTTCTCTTTTGTTTCTCTTCTCCCTTTTCTCTTCTTTGCAGACTCCCACAAAAGCAGTCAAGAAGGCAAGAATTACTTCATTCGATGATCCTAAGTTCTTTTTCTTAGGTTCATTTGCTTATAATGTACCTTTTTACTGCTAAATTTTTGTGTATTCTGGTGTCCAGTCTTACGTTGTGTACTTAGGGAGGCATACTCATGAATCTGAACCTTCTTCTACATTGGATGCTAATAAAATCACCGATTCCTACTATGAATTACTGGGTTCTTGCATGAAAAGGTGATTGTGTGATTGCCAATATACTGTTATCAATTTCATTTTCTATTGTATCATCACTTAATGCATTGCTACTGATGAAATATGTAGTAAGGAGAAGGCAAGAACAGCAATATTTTATTCCTACACGAGTTATATCAATGGCTTTGCTGCTACACTGGAAGATGAAGAAGTTGATGAAATCTCAAGTATGAAAAAAGAATGACATATCAATACATATATTGTACTGTTGTCTATTCAAATTTCTTATAGTAATTGTGAATCTTGTTACTTCAGAACGCCCAGAAGTCCTATCAGTTTTTCCTAATGAAGCGAATGAATTACATACGACAAGGTCATGGGAGTTTCTTGGACTGGAGAGAAATGGACAAATTCCAGCTGATTCCCTCTGGCTAAAAGCAAGATTTGGTGAAGATATAATTATTGCAAACCTTGACACAGGTAAATACACTTGTATTGCAGTACATTACTTTAGTTTAGTGATGCTAGAACTTATAGCTGTATTAATTAATCAGCTGAAAAGTTTGTGTTCTCTCTCTCTTTTTTAATGCTTATATTGCATACAGGTGTCTGGCCAGAATCAGAAAGCTTCAATGATGAAGGGATGGGACCTATTCCATCAAAGTGGAAAGGACATTGCAAAACAAACGATGGAGTTAAATGCAACAAAAAGCTTATTGGTGCAAGATATTTCAACAAGGGCTTTGAAGCTGCGATAGGCAGTCCTCTTAATTCATCCTTCAACACCGCACGAGATCTTGATGGCCATGGCACACATACTTTATCTACAGCTGGTGGGCGGTTCGTTTCAGGTGCAAACATTTTCGGATCAGCCAATGGGACAATAAAAGGAGGATTGCCTAATGCTCGAGTTGCTTCATACAAAGTTTGTTGGCCATCTTGCTTTGATGCTGATATATTGGCTGCTTTCGACGCAGCAATACAGGATGGAGTTGATATATTAACTGTTTCGCTTGGAAGTCGACCTCGCAATTATTTTGGTCATGGAATTTCAATTGGGTCTTTTCACGCTGTTAGAAATGGGATTCTTGTAGTTTGTTCTGCTGGAAATTCTGGACCACAACCTGCAAGTGCTTCAAATGTTGCTCCTTGGATTCTAACTGTTGCTGCTAGCTCCATTGACCGTAATTTTCCATCTAATGTCATTCTTGGAAATAACAGGCTATTCAAGGTTTGGTTCAGAATGTCATTGAAAACAGGAATCCCATTGCCAAACCAGTATTAGATATGAACTTAAATAACAGAATTTCTTTTTATCTTTAAGCAGGGCCTCAGTTTCAATACTAATAGCTTACCAGCTCGAAATTATCACCCCCTGGTCTACTCTGTTGATGCTAAAAATGCCAATGTCTCTACTAGTGATGCGTAAGCTGATAACTCTTGTATTTTGCAAGATGGATCAGGATTTGAAGTCCCGAATCCTGTATTGATTAGGCTAATTCTTATCTGTTTTATACTTGACAGACAATTTTGCTCTCCTGGATCGCTTGATCCAACGAAGATAAAAGGGAAAATTGTGTACTGTCTTCGCAATCTGGACCCGGAAGTGGAGCCAGATGTGGAAAAAGGCTGGGTGGTTGCTCAGGCTGGTGGTGTTGGAATGATCCTTGCCAGTCAATTTGATTTTCAAACGATTATTCCAAGGCCACACTTTCTTCCTACTTCAATTGTGTCTGCAACTGATGGCCTTTCCATTTTAGCTTATATATATAATTCAGGGTAAGCTCTTTCAGTTAATTAGTCCAATCAATAGGTCCCATTTGGAAAAGAAAAAGAAAAGTCAACTAGAGGAATTGAACTCTATTACCCTTACCCACTAATTCTTGTCTTGTGCAGGTTCCCAGTAGCATATATAAGTGGTGAAACAGAAGTTGGAGAAGTGGCTGCTCCTATTATGGCTTCATTTTCGTCTCCCGGCCCTAATGCAATAACTCCAGAGATTCTTAAGGTAGAATTACATTTACACCCGCTGTATGTGACCATCCATATGCCAAACCAATAAATATTAAATAATAAATAGCAATATCTGATTTTTGGATCAAAAAAAAAAAAATTCAGCCTGATATTACTGCACCTGGAGTTCATATAATAGCTGCCTATTCAAAAGCATCAGGACCTTCTTCTTTGGAAGTGGACCAACGTCATGTTCCATTTAATATTATATCTGGAACTTCAATGGCTTGCCCTCATGTTGCTGGAATTGCTGGTCTGCTTAAAACTTTGCATCCTGATTGGAGTCCTGCTGCTATTAAGTCTGCTATCATGACCACAGGTAAATACTTCCCCTTATAATTGTTTCACGTGAATAGGATATCATTTGAAACAACTACAACTAGTTTATGAATTAATCTTTACTCAATTAATGTGTTTATATTTTAAACAAAAATTTAATTTATTCAATTCATACTTATTTGACTTGATTTAAATCAAACCGACCGAATGTTTACCCCTAAATATAATTAGATCAAACTGGAATATAATTGAATACTACATGGCTATGCTAAATTATAAGTTTGAACACTAAAATTGATTAGTCAATTGATTTCTTTTAGTACGAAGTTAGAAATGCCCTTATGCATATGACCAAAATTTGATTCCAAATTAGAAACAAATCATGGTTAGGTTAAAATTGAAATAAGACCGATATTCAATTTCATATTAAAATCAAAACCGTGTGCCTACAATTTTGTTTTAATTCTTTATTTTTTTTAACAGAAAACGTCAATAATTTGAATTTAAAACTAATAATTCTAGTTTGAAACTATAAAAAAAAAAAAAAAAGAAAGAAATTGTGAAATCAAAGATATTAAAGAACTCTCAATTTATTTCTTATTTTTCTATAATTTTTAAATAGATCTTAAGACTTTTATTAAACTATTTCAATATTTTTCAAGTTTATTGATACTCATTTATTATTATTATTATTAATTCATTGATGAAACACTAAAAAAATTGAAAAATTGGAAAATAAGGATTTGAAAAAAAATATATAATTGATTTTAGTTTTCAATCTGAACCATTATTTTAAAGACCGCGTTAATTAAAAACCACCTAAAAACAATTTGATTTCCAATTAACTATTTTTTTTTAATTGAAATCAGCACTTTCAAAATCAAATAGATGTCGCTTTTTATTAAATAATAATTTCAGCATGCAAAGGATGACTAGTGCTTTTTCTTTTCTCAATCTATTGAGAAAGGTTAAAGCTTCTAATACTAGAATTCTAGAATTAGACTATAAAAGAAATATTTCTCATTGTCTTTTTATCTTTGAGTTGATCAAGTCAGTCCTCCTTAGGAAAACAATTCAGCACATATAAAAAAAAATTTTTTAAAAATTCTAAATTGAGTAAGACTTAACTTTAGCTATATCCAAATCAGTCAATTATACTAACTACAATTTTTGCTTGATATTTTGACTTTTAGCAAGAACTAGAAGCAACATCAAACAGCCAATTTTGACCAATCTGTTTGACAAAGCAAACCCATTCAACTACGGTTCAGGACATATCTGGCCCAACCGGGCAACAGACCCAGGTTTGGTCTATGACCTAACCCCAAAAGACTACCTGAATTTTCTATGCTCTATCGGCTATAATGCCACCCAAATCTCTGCTTTTGCTGGCGCACCCTACAGTTGTCCATCAAAAAACACTACTACTAATTTCTTGCTGGACTTTAACTATCCATCCATCACTGTCCCTAATCTCTCCAAGAAAGTAATATTGACTAGAACCCTAAAGAATGTCGGAACTCCAGGGGTATATAGGGTTCGGATCGATGCGCCGGAGGGAATATCAGTTAAGGTTGAACCAAAGAAATTGGGATTTAGCAAAATGAATGAAGAGAAAAGGTTTAAATTAACATTAGAGGCTAAGAAAAATGGAAGCCAAGATTATGTATTTGGAGGGCTTGTGTGGTCAGATGGGATCCACAATGTAAGGAGTCCTATAGTGGTTAGGAAGGAAGAAAAAGGCAAGGATAGTTTAAATTAATTTGTTTTATACATTGCTTTGAGATGAAGAAATTATATGTTCATTTTAATTTTAATTTTTTCTAACAAGAGAATATTAACTATATATATATATATATATATATAGCACATGGCAAGAGTGTGTATTTGTTGATTGCATCTTCATTATTTTATTCTCCATTAATGCAAAAACAGAGAAAATTAAATTGCTTGTTTTTTACAAGCTGACAACTAGATCTGGTTACGTGGAGATTTGATTGCAAATTATATGTTCAAAGTTATTATACTCTCTGCATATTCTAATAACAAATCCATATATTTTCCGACAATAAATTCAAATTTAAATTTTTCTCCTTTTTGATACTCAAAAGAAAATTATCATCCTCTCCTTAATTATATACCTCTGCAAAACTCTGTGATGTCTAAGTTCACGTTGAATTACTATTAAAAAAAAAAAAGATTAAATCATGTAAGATTTAATTTCAAGTTGGAATACTATATAAATTTATTACTTAATCCTTATAATTTAATATTGAAATTCACAAATTAAATTAGAACCTGCTATTTGTTAAAAAAAAAAAAAAATCAATCAAATAGTAGTTGTGTAAATATTTGAGAGTTTTTTTTTTTTTTTTTTTCCGTAAGGATGTTAAAATTTGAGTTAAAATGCGATGACAATTTTCTCTTTAACAAAACTTCAAACGTTTTTTCTTATATATCTCCACCAAACTAAACGACGAAGTCTTTCTTTACCTAATAAACATTACCAACCCTTATTCATAAATAAAAACTTATTAAAAATAACAACACATTTTACATTTTCAAAATTAAATTATTAATTACATAAAATGTTGGAGTAAATTTTGGTTTCTTTCCCCAAAAAGTAAAATTGTATTTTCTTAACAAAAAAAGTAAATTTTGTTTTTGAAAATTAAGAAATAAAAATACAAAAAAAATACAAATTGTATTTATAAAGAAGCAAATGGATATAATATCTAGTGTGGAATTTCCTATTACAAAGAAAATTATCCTCTAATTCTTCTCCTTATTGTTGTGTATGCGATTCAAGGGTCGAAACGACATGATCTTGAATGCGATTCAACAGTCGAAAAGACTTAATGTTAAATTTATATAGAACCAATATCGAAAAATTCAAGACTCGAAGAGACTTGATTTTGAATTGAAATTGAAAGAATTTCAATTTTTTGGACTTGGGGAAGACTTTTTGTAGTCTTGGGTTCGATAGAGCTTTAAGGTTTTTTTTCTATCTTTCTCTATGTGTGTTTGTGCCTTATGTGAAGAGAGACATCCTATTTATAGAAATTTGAGGTAATCTCATTGCCAAGTATGTAATTTGATCGGTCCACTTGGCCAACTCTTATTGGCTGCTGGAATGTCGCTTATCTTATGTAGACGACTGACTTATCCACTAAGTATTTAATTTAATTGGTCCACTTGGCCAATTTTTATTAGAGTTTACTACATTTTTTATCTATACAGTAAATAATATTTATCCAATAATTTTATTTTAATAACCATTTAAATATTTTGATTGGTTATTAAAATAAATTATTTAATTTAACTATCTCATAACAATCTGAAAGTAATAAGAAGGAAAACGGATTTTTAAAGACTTCTATACATAGAAAAATTCTAGAATAAAAAAATAAAATAGACTTTATTAAAAAGAAATAATAATCTCCATTGCTCTTTAAATCTTTGAGAACAACTTGATTCAAGTCATCATCCTCCTTATCCAGGAAAAAACAATTCCAGCAAAAATAAAAAAAAACTTTTTTAAAAAAAACAAATTACTATAATTGGAGTGAAAGACTTAACTTTATCATATATTCCAAATCACCGACCCTTCAAAGATCAAAATAACTGTGTTTATAGCTAACTTACAATTTTTGACTTGAATATTTGACTTTACTTTAGCCCAAAATAGAACTACGAAGCAACATCAAACAGCCAATTTTGACAATCTGTTTGACAAAGCAAAAACCCATTACTCCACCTAGGTAACAAATAAGAGACATATCTGAGAACCCAAAACCGATGCAACAAGACCAAGTAAACTTAAAAGATCCCTATGAACACTAACCCCAAAGGAATGGACTACAACTGAAATTTTTCTATGCAATCCCTTATCCTGGCTATATAATAGAGCCGCCAATCCAAACAGCCACAAAAAAAAAATACCATTAAATATGCTTTATCGACAAAACACTTGTGCAAGACAAAACACGTACATTGTTTGTGATCCAAATCAAAAAATAAAAATTTCAAACCACACTACTTTACTAATTTCACTTATGTCTGGACGTTTTTAAACTTAGTCCCATTTCATGACACGATCTCGTTCCTCCCAACTAATACTCAAATATACACAAGGAAGTTAACTATTTGACTAAGAAACCCTATAACAGAATGTCGGAAACTATCCAGGAGTAAATAAAATAGAAGAGTAATCTCAGATATCGGTATGACGAGCCGAGTGAATAGGGGAATATCAGTTAAAAGGTGAACCAAAGAAATTTGGAGATTTAAGGCAAAAAAAATGGAAACCCAATGATATAATGTTTCATGAAAAGAAAGAAAAAGGAAATATAAAATTACACATGTAGAAGAGTTTGAAGAAAAAAATGAGCCGACCAAAAAGGAAGCCAAAGAAATAATATGCTAATGCCAGGACAAGCGGCTTGTGGTTGTGGTCTAAGATTTGTTGGAAATCACACAATTTGTAAGGGGAAGTCCACCTCATTAGTGAAGCTTCCAGGAAGGAAAAAAAAAGCAAAAGAAGGCAAAGTAAGAGTATTAAAAATTAATATTCAAATGCTCTTATGCCATACAATACATTGCTATTGAAGCATGAAAGACAAACATACTCAGAGTTGAAGATCGCTCTCATTTTTTAATTTATTAAATATAATTTTATAAATACGTGAAAACACAAAAAAAGCCAGATAATAACCCTTACTAAATAAATAAATCAGTATGATAGAATATACCAAACAATAAAAAAAAATACCGACACAAATAATGCGCAAAGAAAAGTAGTGTGTTATAATTAGTTCACACCGAATTGCACTCTTCATAATTAGTTATTCTCCATTAATGGCAAAACAAAACGAAAAACGAACGAAAATTAAAATCTCGCTTGTTTTTTTTACAAGCTTGACAACTAGATCTGGATTACGTTGGAGACCCTTTGATAGCAACAAAATTAAATAATGATTCAAAAGAATTATTAATACTCTCTGCATTATAAATCTAATAACGAAAAGTCCAGTATATTTTCCGGAACAAATATTAAAATTCAACAAATAAAATTTTAAAGGTAGAAAATCTTTCTGTTTAGACCTTTTGTACTCAAAAAGAGAAGACATTTAAAATCATCCTCTCCTTTAATTAGTATACAGTGCTGCAAACATCTTGTTGAACTGTCTTAAGTGATCACGATAAATGGAAAATACTAAACTACAATAAAGTTAAAAAAAAAAAAAAGACTTAAAATAATTGTAAAAGATTTTAATTTCAAGATATGGAAGAAAAAAAGAATAACTAATAACATAACACTTTAAAAATACTTAACAAGTTCCTCAAACTAAAGAAATATAATAATTGAGAAAGTTCACAACAATAAACTCTAGAACCTTGTATTTGTTAAAAAAAAAAAAAAATCAATCATAATAGTAGGTTGTGTTAAATATTTGATAGTTTTTTTTTTTTTTTTCCGTAAACGAAAGCGATGGTTAGAAAAATTGAAGTTAAAACATGCGAATCGACATTTTCTACACTTTAAACGAGAATAAACTAATACACAAATCGATAATTTTTCTAAAAGTATATTAATCGCTCCACCAAAACTAAAACGACAACGCAAGTCTTTCTTTACCAATTTAAACCACAATTAACCAACCCTTATCCAATAAAGTAAAAAACTTATTAAAAAATTAACAAACACATTTTTACATTTTCAAAATGTAAAATTCATTTAAAACCTCTACATTAAAGTTGCAGTAAATTTTAGAAAATAATTCATTTACCCCAAAAAGTAAAAAGATTGAATAAATTTTCAATAACAAAAAAAAAAGTAAATTTATAGTTTTGGAAAATAAGAAAAATAAAAATACAAAAAAATACAAAAAATTTGTAAAATTTATAAAAAAGACAGCCAAAATGACTATAAAAATAAATACATAAGAAAGTGGAAATTCCTATTACAAAGAAAATTATTCCATTATTCTTCTCCTTATTGTTGGATAAATGCGATATCAAAAAAGAAAGAACGAAAAAAAAGAGACAGTGATCCACCCTGAAAAGTGGCGAAATTCAACGAGCGAAAAGACGATAAAACTTAATAGTTAAGAAATAATTAGATTATAGAACACAATATCGAAAGAAATTCAAAGACTCGAAGAGGAAAAACTTGGATATTTGAATTGAAATTGAAAGAATTTTCAATTTTTTGGACTTGGGAGGGGAAAAGAAAAGAAAAGAAAAGAAAAGAAATGTTTTGTAAAGTCTTGGGATTCAGGAGTAGAGCTTAAGGTTTTTTTTCTATCTTATCTCAAGATTAGTAGTGGAGTTTGTGGCTTAGGTGTTGAAACAAAAGAAGTGAGGAACATACCACCTTAATTATATATAGACGGAACTAGAAAAGAAAGCCACACAGAAGAGGTAATCTCATCGTGCAGAACATGTACAAATCTATCTAACGACTCTCACACGATACAGTCTCCGACTACCCCGGCGGCGACCCTGAAGTGCGAAATCACACCACGGTCCACTTGGGCCAAAACAATTCTGCATTTTTATGCTGCTGAGGAATACCATAAAATGAATCGCTAAATTATCTCTATGCTAGACGACTGAACTTATTCCACTTAAAAAGTATTTAAATTTAATTGGTCTCACGCTTGGCCAATTTTTATTAGAGTTTACTACATTTTTTATCTATTACAGTAAAATAATAAATATTTTAAATCAATAAAATTTTATTTTAAAACCAGATAAATAATTTTGATTGGTATTAAAATAAATATTTAATTAACATAAACTAACCAAT